GTGAAACGAATGATGGGTTAGTCAGGATTGTCCGTAGATGTTCAATTACAAATTCCATTTCGGAAGCAAGATGTTCGTAGGAACCCTCCATTTGTACGACCATTCCCCCTTCTTGTTCCTCCTCTTTCTCACAACCAGAAACCGTCCTTAATGTCTCGATAGTCCTTCTCACCAACCCTCCTAGAGATTCGTTCTCATCACTCAGGCCCCTGGCCAATTCTGTCAAAAACTCGTTCGTCTCCATTCTTAGATCATACCCCTCATCCTCCGTGCCAATTCCTGCCCCACTCCCATTATCACTCCCAACTCCTGCGACTACGTTGATAGTTGCAACACCCACAGCTTTCCCGCTGCCTCTTGCTCTTCCACCTTCACCGACATGTCTTTTCATTCCCTCAATAATTCTTTCCTTTTTTCTGACCTCGTTCGCACACTGTGCCCTTGTCTGCCCCACCAAGACCTTCATCCTCGCCATATCCTCCTTCAACCCCTTAACTGCCTGCTCCGCACTCCTCAATTGTGTTTTCAAAGCTCGTTCTGCCGCATCCGCTATCCCAACTTTCCGTTGTAATTCTGTATTTTTTGTCGCGAGTCTCTCCATATCAGTTGTTGACCGTAAAGCATCAGCGCGCAAAGCTCGAATTGTTTGTGAGAGGTTTTCTCGTTGTTGAGAATCGCGCTATTAATTTTTCGTCAATTTGACTCTTCTCTTCAATAACTCGATATTAAAATGCGCTTGCGATACTCACATCTCTCCTCAAAATCAGATCATTCACCACACTCATTATCTTCCCCATTGTGACATCTAGTCCCTCTTCTGATTTATGCGGGCGCGCAAAGTCAATTGTTTGTCCATTTCGTAGAAGCCCGCGAGAAAGTAGCTGGTTGTTTATGTATAGGGACGCAGTGCGCAGATTATCTGCATCCATGTTTGCTGGCTCGAATTACAATTATCAGGTTTGAGCCTTGAGAAATAGTGGAAGATATATTCGATGTATTCATGGGCCAACTAATGTCGAGATAAGTGGTTTTTAACTTTTTTAATGGTCTTCGTCGCATGAACCTTCTGTGTTGTCATGTAAACAAACAAATCGAGATTGCAGGGGTACACCGAGCATGGTTCTCGTCTCTCTCGTGATCACGTGTGCGTGTTTTGCGAAGACAATATCTTATTGTCACCACGTCTGATTTCATTGCATTACATTCTAACACTGGAGATACCAAACCTTATTTTATCATTGTTTCAAATAATAGACATAGGATTCCATCATCGTATCGCATATACTAATCAAAAATCGAGGTTTTTCTTTTGGATTTTTAAGGGGAAGCACATCTCATTCTGATCCACTAATGACTTCCTCCGTACTTTGGACAAGCTTTCTTAGATGCTGTTGTGTCTAGAATATTTGCAAGTCGAATTCTGAGAGGACGACTTGGAATCCATGACAATTGCAACGAAGATAATAGTCACTTCTTGCGACTGCGAGTGAGTACTCAACATAATGTTTGCCGAAGTGGGGTTACGAGCATCTTTGTAAACATCATTGGTATGCTCAACAACGGCAGGAGGTTGTGGCAAAATGGAAATCAGGTTAGAATCAAAGTTCTGTTATCACTCATGGAGGTATTGGGTTCTTCCTTGATTGTTTGCTCCCGGAGTGCGTTCGTATTTAGGTAGAGGTAGTAACTTTGGGAGGACTCTAGGAGTGAAGTGTCTTCTGAAGGGAGATTTAATCGGCTCTTTCCATGAGAGGAACCTAGTCTTATACCCAAAGTCTTCATCTCTAAATCTATTCTTTTCCCTTCGCTTCTCAATGCGCAAACGATTCATACCGACCCTCTCTAAAGACTTGTCCTTGTTTTTGCACCACGATTTCTCTTCCCCTTAATAGTAAGACTAACTCAAAAGTTAGAACGAACGGAAAGTCAATAGAGATTGGACGTATTCACATGCCCATGATTAGTAACTGCTTGTCCAGTCCAATATGAAACGCACGAGAAATACTCTTTGCTGGTGAAAGGTTAATGAAAGTAAATTGACTATCTTTTTGCTGTGATAAGACGGAACCCAAAGTAACGATGGGGAAAGAGTAAGTTACTCTTATCTTTTTGAATCCATTGCTTTGTAAGATTAACAATCGATCAAACAAATAAACGAAAGGATCGCTCATACTTATTAATGGTAATCCCTTCGATATAATACACATAGTCTCCCAAGAGGAAGTTTGGGATAAGAATGAGAGGAAGTGGAGAAGCGAATGATGGAGGTAATTGAGTTTCAATAGAACCCAAAACTGCATTAGAGAAGAAGGGTCTCGAATTAAAAATCGATACCAACAGCACAGTTTGCGAGCCCATGCAGAATTAGGTATTAATATAAAGATATTGGAAAGCTAAGTATGCGGTTTCTGATACTCTTCACAACCAGACATGTGGCAATCATTTTTGCTCTAATCAGTGAGCTGTGATAACAAATCTTGTGTGTCATATAATGTTGTATACGTAGAGCCCATGGAAAACAACTTCAACAACGATGGTTTCAATGTCTGCACTCTGTGATGTCTTCATGCATTCTCTTCGATGATATATATACCAATGCTCGAAAACCCTGAGAGCTGCATTGACGATGGCGATATTGAATTGGGCTAGTAATCACAGGTTCACACATTGGCTTTTTGACAACAATATACGAAGTAAGTACCACAGAATGAGTGAATGAAATGATTCAATTTCGTAATTACATATTGTCCCAAGAGGTAAAGGATTTCGCTACATCACATCCCCGGAAAGATAATGCGGAGGGCGTCAAGGATAGTCACGTGACAGGCTTCGTCCCCCACCATCCGCACACTTAAGCGAACCCACTAATTTCGAAATTGAAGAATTGAAGATGTTTCGAAATTTTCTCTTTTGATTTTTTCCACCTCCAACGACAATTCATAATCCAGTAGTGCGGTCAATCGAACAAGATGGTGAGTTGAAATCGAATACTTCGATTGCAGTATACCTGCAATCATGGCATTTAAAGCCCCAAGATCCTTGAATCCTTGAAAAGTCAAATAGCAAAATGCTTCGAGAAATTGAAGGTTGCTGACTTTTGGAATTTTTACAGCCTTTCACCAAGCTGGTCAAGAACTCCGCGTACTATAGGTTAGCTCAATTCTCCTTTTTCCAAATTTAATTTTCGCATTCTAACAATCAATCAGTCGCTACCAGACTAAGTACAAGCGCCGTCGTTCCGGAAAGACCGATTACTACGCCAGAAAGCGTCTTATCACCCAAGCCAAGAACAAGTACAATGCGCCAAAATACCGTCTCGTTGTCCGATTCACCAACCGTGATATCGTCATGCAAATCGTTACCTCCGAAATCACTGGTGACAAGGTTTTCTGCGCCGCATACTCCCACGAGCTCAAGGCCTACGGCATTGAGCACGGTCTTACCAACTGGGCCGCCGCATACTGCACTGGTCTCCTCATCGCCCGTCGTGTCTTGAAGAAGCTCGGTATGGATAAGGATTTCACCGGTGTTGAGGAGGCTGATGGAGAGTACCAACTCACCGAGGCTGCTGGCGATGCGGAGAGACGTCCATTCAAGGCTTTCCTTGATGTTGGTCTTCACCGTACTTCCACTGGTGCCCGTATCTTCGGTGCCATGAAGGGTGCTTCCGATGGCGGTATCCTCGTTCCTCACTCCGAGAACCGTTTCCCAGGTTACGATATCGAAAGCAAGGAGCTCGATGCCGAGACTCTCCGCAAATACATCTACGGTGGACACGTTGCTGAGTACATGGAGACCCTCGCCGATGACGATGAGGAGCGTTACAAGTCCCAATTCCAAGGTTACATTGATGATGAAATAGAGGCCGATGGATTGGAGGAGTTGTACCAAGAGGCCCACAAGGCTATCCGTGAGGACCCATTCAAGAAGGTTGAGGGAGGAGAGAAGAAATCCAAGGACGAGTACAAACAGGAGTCTTTGAAGTTCAAGGGACGCAAGATGACCAAGGACGAGAAGCGCGAGAGAGTCAAGGCCAAGATTGCCGAATTGAAGTAAATTTTCAAATTAAATTTTCGGATATGGGTTTTCTAGCTAGGCGATAAAAATGATACTCCCTTGATACTCTAGAACTTAATGATCTTGATGAATGATGAACCAATGTATTTTTAGTACTCCATATACAATAGTTGACGGAAAAGTCTTAACTTTGCGTTGTCACTTGTTACCTTGTCTGTTTACGGAGTATATCTTCTCGCCTCCCTGATTGAATCACACCTTAGTTAAAGTGCTTACTCGGAACTTTCCAGAACTCCTTTCAGCACAATGCCGGAACCTTATCAAAGATATCAAAATGAGGATATTCATCCCCCTCTCATCATTATGACCTCCCCCCTCCATAGCACACCATTTTATTTTGAAACCTCATCGCAATAATGATTTTTCTTTTCCCATAACTTGTTTTATATTCTCTTTCGCATCATTGCTCATTGTTCAGTGCTCAGGAGATTGTGGATTGTGATTGATCGTACCACAGATTGATCGAATCATATCGAATCTCCGAGGCTGGGTACCGAACTTAAGATCCACTTGCACCAACCCCGACGAGGACCCCCAAGCAACACATGACGATATTCTCCACCGCTCCACTCCATTGCTTCATTGTGTGAGTGGGTGTCTGATCACTATCGCAAATCGCCAACGCAATTTATAGTCTACTTGGTGGTTTGTGGCATTTGATTCTGATATACCCATACTATTCAACACATTAATTCATTCACCGTTCCGTCACAATTATTTGTGGCACACACACGATCATGGATTTGTACCAATAGAAACTGCTCACATCAGCAACGAGACATATTACGAGACATCAACAAGCGATAACAAATCTTGATTGCGATAATTGCGAAGACTTTTGAAAGAACATCTCTTCGACATCAATTAGGAGAAATTTTCTGACAATTCGCAAACCGGAGAACATACCTTGAAGGTTTATTTACATGATGGAGCAAATGAACGGCGTGGATGTGAGTTGGATGACACACAGCTCAAGCAACAAAGGTTGGTTCAAGCATTACTTCAAATGGGAAATTGAGATGTATTGGAACATTTGCCAGCTAGATGTGTGCGACTAACATGAGTTACTTATCACAGACCCAAAACGACCTCGTATGGTTCCGAATGCGTCTGGCTCACAAGGGAAATCAAGTCCGCCCCCACAGAATGGCTCTACCCCTCCAAAGAATGAAAACGAGCCCGAAGTTGTAACGACTCCACAGCCGATTCCAAATCGACCTGGCGTGGCTAGAAATACCTCCTCGGAAAGGATCGTGACGACTAATGGCACACCACCTAAAGCATCTACATCACCTAACATGTCCCGCAGAAACTCGTGGTTATCGAGCATATCCTCAAAGTTCTCGGGTTCACCTTCTTCCAGCCATACGAGCGTATCCCCAAGTACTTCACCGGCAGCTTCTCCTGTAGAACCTCCGGTACAAAGACCTGCAGGACCTAGTGCGCCCAAAAACGCGGTGCTAGTACATGGGGTGAAGGATGATGGCGATGCACCTTACGTTCCAGCGCCTCCGCGGAATGGACCCAGCTTCTTACAGAGTGCCTTGCGAAGGCTGTCATCTTCGGGTGGGCAATTGTCTGGATCAGCCAGAGGCCACCATGGATTGTGCGAAAGAAAGGTTCTGAACGTCGATCATCACCGGGAAAGATGCCCCGTATCTGGGCTCGAACAGTCAAAACTAAGAAGGGTAGCTTTCTGTGTAGATGTTGAGATAGCCAGCGGTCCCCGTTATATGGACGAGGAAGAGTCCGATGAAATCGATAATAAAAATAAAGAAAAGATGAAGCGATCCAAAGAAAAGGGAGAAGGCGCTGCGTTGAAGAATCCAAACAACTCTATGTCCGAGATGGAACAAGACGATACTTCGAAAACAAATGTTAGCAAACCTGATGAAAAACTCGCCGAAAGTGCTCAGCCAAAGGCCTCAGAAAATACACCAGAGGCTGCAGGATCCTCTCCACCGATTGAAAAAGACAATACCAAAAAGAAGGAGAAGAAGAAGCGTAGCGAAGAAGAGCGTAAAGCGAGAAAAGAGAAGAAACGAAGGCTTGCTGAGGCAAATGGTACAATCCCAGTTGAGTTGAAGATTGATGAGAGTGATAGTTCACTCTCACCCACCTCCAATACCGCCACTCCAAAAACCCACACTTCGCCTACCACGGACCCTGTTCGAATCTATAGAAGATGCTGTCAATTAAGAGAAACGCCAATATTAAAGAGAATTGTTGAGCAGCTCACAGCCTCAGTAGCGACGGCTGCAATACCTGGTCTTGTTGCCAAATTGGATCTCTCGGGTTATTGGCTACAATTACCAGACCTTGTCACCTTGGGAGACTACTTAGCTGTGGTTCCCGTGAAAGAACTGATAATGGAAAATTGTGGACTTACTGACGAAGGTGTTCGTGTCATTTTGGCTGGTCTTTTGGCCGCCAAGTTACCAACATACGGTAGAAAATCTCACACTCGTAAAGAGGGCCAATATCCTCAGGGTGGTATAATCGAATCGCTAGTATTTAAAAACAATAACAAGATTAGTAAAGATGGTTGGCGGCATATCGCTCTGTTTATTAATATGTGCCGGTCACTGAAAGTTCTGGATTTGTCAAGGATTCCTTTCCCCCAGGATACTACTACACCAACGACCGGCTCTGGGCATCTAAAGAAAACGGATAGTAACACGAGTCAAACGAGCAACGAAGTCTCTTGCTTATTATCCAAGGCTATTGGAGATCGACTCGCTGGTCCAGAATTCGAACTCTTGAACCTGGGCCATTGTGGTATCAACAGCGAGCAATTAGATGGGTTAGTTGATGGAATTATAAAATCGGGCTTACGAAGACTTGGTCTTGCGGGTAATGGGATTACGTCAGTAGGGATGGAACATGTTGCTAGATGGATAAAATTCGGCAAGTGCGAAGCTCTTGATCTCGTTGGTAATGATCTCAAAGATTCTATGGAGATCGTAGCGAATGCCCTTGACGAAGACAACAAAATTTATGCCTTGAGCTTGGCAGACTGTAATCTTAATCCGGATTCGCTGTGGCCTCTTTTCCCAGCCCTGGCAAAGCTGAAGAACTTCAAGTTCATCGATTTATCGCAAAACCATGATCTGTTCGAGTCGAATCCCAGTGCACTTTCTCTTCTGCGCAGGTATGTTCATTATTTTCCTTCTATCCTCGCATAACATTGCGATATGCAGAGATTAGTAATCTCTGCATGGTTGAAAATGGTGATCCATAATATCAATTCCTGTTGTATCTAGCCCTACAGTTTCCCGTCGACCCCATGTAACGAGGAATGATTGAGCGCTTTAGCAAGGCGAACTGCTAGATTTCATCAAGCTCTGAATGGCAATTCGGTTTAATGAAGACAGTGCCGGATATAGCTGCGGCATTTTTACGGTCTCGTACCGCGACCAGTAGTTTGCTTCACTATTGTCAGCAACTTACACTGCAAGGCTTAAGTTGAATATTTTCTCAGCTTTGCTAAATTTATTCTCATTATGTTTTCAAGTACGGTCGTACAGGACATCATCGGCTGACATACCACAGATACTTACCACGTTTGCCTCAACTCAAGCGGATACATTTGACTAATGTATCCATGACCCCTGAACAAGCCATCGCCCTTGCAGAAATCTTACCAGAGAGCCCCAGTCTTGCGCATGTGACTCTTATGGAAAACACGCAACTAGCTGCTCTTGCAAATGCGAAAGACGAAGCAAGTCAGGAAGAGGCTTGCGCATTATATGCCTCGTTGATGGCCGCGGTCCGAGTCTCTCAGTCAATTGTATGTATTGATATTGAAGTTCCGTCAAACGATTCGTCCGAAATTGTTAGGGCCTTGGCTAAGCAAGTTGTTGCTTACTGTCTGTGGAATATGGAACGCGGCCCAGTTGCAGAAATCAGTGAAGCTGTTGCTGCAATCTCTGATCCCCATGCAGCTGCCAACGGAAAAGACGTTGCAGTTCCCGAAGTATTGTTACACATTGTGGGGCACATGGAGGGAGTCCAAGAGAATCATGATGATGATGAGCCAGCACCTGATGAAGATTATGTGATTGGCGGGACAGGTGTGGTTAAAGCTTTAGGTATCTGTTTACGAAACAAAGGCAATGATTCTAGGAGGCCATCAATGGATCAAGCTATCTCCGAATTATCTAGACCAAGCAGCAGCTCGGCCACCCCGAACAACCCTGTGAAAGGTGGCAAAGCCAAAGATATGTCGAAGAATCTATTGGGAAGTGCCAGGAAGATTCGGGCTAGGTTACAACCTGCTCTAGTCAAGGAGTCGAAGGCCAGTGATCATCACAATTACAGTAAGAATTATCCATTGTTTTGCAAACATACCTTGACTCAACTGACCGCAAATCAGACCGATTACTGTTCCTTGATCATACATTACAAAACATGATCAAAAGATTTGAAGACGAATTTCCTGAGACCCGCTTGTCACCATCGTTACCCGACACGGAGCGAACAGCCATGACGGATAATGCATATTCACTCCAAACTGATTACGAAGGATCAGACGTTGAACCCGAACCAATCTTGGCTGAAAATCAACCATCAGATGAAGAGGGAGGGCACGACGAGGGCGGAATTCGCCCCACTCTATCTCGTCACAATTCCGATGTCTCATTGGCCTCCAAAGCACTTTCACAGGAAGAAGGCAGGATGCATCGTTTTGGGCAGAAAATTCGTCGTAATCTTATCAAACCAGAAAGCGAGGACAAATTACATGGAACTACAGGACACGAAATTCAACCAGCACATCTACAATTTTTAAGGTCTATGGTTGAGGACCTACAAGGCGAAGACATCAGAAACAAAATAGAGACCCTAGGCCCAGATGCGGTGATAGCCGAGCTGAACAACGAAGCTAGCATTCTTCGACGGGGACTCATTGAGAATGATCCTGAAGGTTGGCAGAAATTCAAAGAAAGTCAAGAAGCCATGCAAAGAAATTCAAGTGTAGCAAATATGGGCTCAAATGGGATGGTATCTGAGAGTGCTATCGAGTAATAAATTTTAGGTACTTTGTATTTTGGACTTTGAAATCACTTGCATGTATTTCATCAGCATAGAGTGGTCTTTTATGCTACTTATTATAGTATACTTCTTACATAGCGTTTTATTTATTGGATAATATGACGGGAATGTGTATTACTAAGGAGGAGAGTCTTTGAACAAATCTTGTGGCGTTGAATAGGGGAGGACATTTGTGGTACAACCTGAGTCTTGAATCAAGGAATGTACAAGTAGATTAGATAATAAGAAGCATAAGTAGATCGGCGCATATCAATATTTCAAGATTGACGTATGACCTTGATGAATACATCTTACTTTAGAGTTACTAATATAAGAAAGAATAAACACATTTGTAGTACTTCTAGATCTACCAACAGTCTCGACCTTTACATATCTTTTTATACATGTTGAATACCAGGTGGCGAGGGAAAAACTCCATTCATTAACTTCATACATCCTTATCCATCCGCAGTACAACCCTATCTAAGCGGCGACGATGGATTAGCCAGCAACGTATTTTTAGTGACATAGTAAATAACTTCCATCCATCCTTCCATAGCAGTACCAAGTAAATCCAAAGCAAACCTCCTTCGCAGGTGACCTATCAATTAACGCCTGTGAATACCTAGGAGATGATAGACGATAAACGCACACAGCCATCCATTTCGAATCTTTTAATCTTGATTGCCACGATTTTCTGCCTTTTCCTTACCTTTTCTTTTTCCTGCTCTCTTTTTGATGGCTTTGCCATGAAGATCTCATCCCATTGATTTAACAAATCACGTGAAATCACTCCCTTCCCCTGTCATGCAACTGCATAATCCCCGCATCTGCGTATGAATTTTGAAGTCTCCGCTCTTTTAACGTCAATGAAGAATCCAATCCCATAACTGCAACCAAATCTCTATCTTCTCATTCTTTCATCCACGTCATCTCTCGCTCACCACTATTCTCCTCTTCCTCTTCCAAAATAATCGTCCTCCCATTCTCAAACCCACCAATAGCAACAGATTCCCAGGATCCCTCAATTGCCTCTCCATTCCCTTTCGAAATCTTCAGATTACTATTCTTCAAGCCCCGCTCATATAGTCACGCGCTCATTCTCCTCTCGCTCTCGGCACACGCCTCACATACTCCACCCCCGAAAACGCGCGTGTGACGACGCCAGCCATCGCCGGAGATTATCTCGCCGTTGACGACAGGGGTGTTGGTGAGGGGGTTGGGAGGCTTGGTGTAGGAACGACGACGGGGGGGGATTTCGGTGGGGGGAGCGGAGCCGCTTCCGCCTCCGTGGATGGGAGAGTAGGGGAGGGGTTCAAGGGGCGAGGGTGGCGTGAAGGGAGGTGGTGGCGGGAGACGAGAGAATGTTTTTGGGGAGCTGGAGATTGAGGAGGGGGAGGTGGTGAAATCGAAAGAAGACGAGGAGGTTCTTGAGAGAGCGAGGTTGTCGGTATCCAATTTGGGGGTTTCATCCATGTATGAATAGATGTTCACATCGGACTTTTCGAGAAGAGGGGTAGAGGGACGACTTGGTGGGAAATGATATTGTAATTTTGTTGTGGAGCTACGTTTCCTCCGTATGAAGATTGTGATGCAAAGAAAAACGACTCCGCTTAGGAATAGGTAAGGAGAGGGTATTTTGGAGAAGAAAGCATACGTGTATGCATGAGTTAGTCCCGTGATGGGCTCAGATACGACAGGCATGATGGATGAATGGTGAGCTGAGTCTCGTGATCTCTCTTGTAAAGTTGTCTCTATTGCCAGGGTGTTGACAAAAGATTAGAGGCTGAGAGCGTGGTGAATGAAAGGAGGTGAAGATGGGAGTATTAGATAACCAAATATGTGACGAAGTAGATGAGATATGCATCTGGACAAACACAGTCGGGAAGAAGGAGGCTTAAGTAGAGATTGGAACCGGGTACCCCAATATGGAATAATGGATTGGTTAGATTCTTCGCTAAGGTTACTTAGTAGAATCGAGGACAATAAAAGAAAAACAAACCAAAGTTACTGTCAGCAAAGTGATCTTACGCGCATGCAGGAGCATTGCAAAGTGTATGTATGTAAGGTAAATCCATTGGCATCCATGTGGAAGAGACTGTCAGGGACATGCAAGTAAATCCAAAGTACTCGTGAGATAGTTCCTTTTTGCCCTTTTTATTTTTAGTATTAGTGTAGTAATGATGAGGAGGCAATGCGATACATGGCTAGATTAGACGGGGGGCGTGTGAATGGAGCTTTCTGGTGGAATGCTTTAGAGAATCCTTGTCAGGCTTAAAGGATATGTCGAGACCTCCAACCCTGTTTCCGGGTTATGCAAAACACCCCACTATAATCCTAGCAAGGTCTTGCTTCAGCCCAACTGGGCAAGAAATTTGGGGAGAAAGCAGATTTTGGCTGCTGTTACTAGATGCTTTGTAGATTAGTTCGTTACCACGTTGCGATTCCCATGTTTTTCTTTTGCTTGTTTTCTTTTTTCCATTCTGCTTTGGTATAGGGTTAGACATGGATTCGATATATTTCGTTGACCGCAGAATCTCAATGATTACCATACATGCTGGGTACATATCTCCAAATCCCTTGTTGAGAAAGACGTCTATCTATTCATCAAATTGTACCTCATCCGTATCTCCACCTTTCCAACCTTCTGACCAGGACCTCTCCATCAATCACCGTCAGAAAAGTCACACGGAGAGGCCTCCCCAGTAAGCCAAAGAATGGTGGGAAGGGGTTCCACTCGTAAGGCTGCACGGAGGTGCTACTGTACCTACAGGCTACAAGGCTAGATATCCTTCGAATCCCTTCACGAATCCCGTGGAGCGATCTCCCGCTTAGTGTCCCAACATTTCTATCGCCAGACTGTCTCATTATGGTAAAGGCAGGACTTTATACAGTTTATACAGCTCTCCTCATCTCACGATTGACCGTCACAATACACCAAACTGGCAAAATCTGGCTATTTTCGGAGATTTACTGGTCTCAGATTTCGTGTGAATTTTACTTAGTAGGAATAAATAGGCTTAGAGCACTGAAAAGCACATGGCTTGGTACTTCACTGTACATAGGTACCATTATATGCCTACCTGAAGTACCGGTGTATTATCGCAGCGCATAGCATACCATTCATTTGTTCATCATCCTGAGAGAAGTGCGAATCAGATGAGGAATTAAACGTCAACAAACGCGGCTGATTGTGCCGCCGTATTTCGCACCAATCTCATGTCAATGGTGGGATGAGATGGATGGATGAGATGACGGTCGCTGGATTGTATATTTGCTGGGCTGGTAATGTTTTGTTGCACCATAGGGTTATTGTACGTACAAGACGTAAGCTCGGCGTTAGAACCAACAATCGGGAAGTTAGTGATGTTTATGGGATTGTGGATTTATTGACCGGTGAATGTCTGCCTGCATATAATATAGCAAGTAATGCAATGAGATATAGTGGTAATAGTTGGGAATTGTCATATTGTCTTGGTGAATATCCGTAGTTGGGAAGTAGGCCTTTTGAGAGACCCATGCCAAGCCCTACCTAGTATTATCTATGTTCTTAAGTCCTTATCCATTATCGACCTTGTAGAGCGCCATGCAATGCATACTTGCTTGTGGTACTGGCATTGCAGTTACCCCGTCAATTACCGATAGAGAGAGAGATGAGGTTGATCAAGGTGCAAAGAATCTATTTATCTAGAAACCAATACAATCTTACATCTTGTACCCTTTTGACGCTCGCTCATGGGAATTCCTGGGCGATGTAAAAGGGACGAAGGTCGTGTGAGTATTATTTTGTCCGAATTCAATTCTGCTTCCTACCTATACCCAGTAAGTATCCTTACTCATAATTCTCTTACTCGTAATATTCAGTTTGTGGTGAAGATGGAGAAAATGGAACGAGATTGATCTTGAGTTCAGCTCACATCAGCTTCGGTAGTCGACACTATCCTTCATTTTTGCGACGCCTTTCGGATAGCGCCTCGGGTAATTGCAGTTAAGGGTCACTGATTGGATCCAATTAATTACCTGGTGGGTATCTTTCAGCTGAATACGCACAGCGGATACATTTCTTAATGAATGCTTCTGATTTTACGAGTTTGGAGCCGATATACCAAGTTGATTTACCATTTATAAACTATGCAGTAGGGAGATTCCTTGCAAATAAAGTGGAAAGGCGGGATTTAATGTTCTCTGAAAAGTTTCAACCAGCCATAGTCATCATAATCGTCCGATGAGGCGGCTTTCAAAGTAACAATATGGTCTGTATTTCTGGGTAGATGAGTTGGGGGACGGCATTGATGGTTGGTACGAAATACGCGAATGGATAGATGAAGGGGTTGGTGTTAACAGATGAAGTTTAACAGGGAAACGCGGCTACGATAATGCAACCATAGATTTGGAGAAAATACGACCTTCAAACTGGCTCAGGTATGCCAAGGTCGGTATCAATGGTTGATCACTTGCTGAGGCCTTTCTGGCCCTTTCTGGGGTTACTTTCGAGGCATCTAACATTGAATAAACGTCAGTATGGAGGGACTGATTAGATCAGTATGTCGCCATCAATGTAACTGCCTCTTAACCTGAAATTACTTCGAATGTTCTAAAAAACCTCCACGTTTACTCATCATGATACCATCAATTCCAGATTATGCAAAGATCCACAGAATTGTAACTTTATCAAACAAGTTCAGCCGGTCATGTCATGCGGCTCTCTACATATTGCATATGTCGCTTGTTGGATTCCATCCATGTGTCATGTACAAAACGGACCATTGAACTGGTAGGCACGGTGGCATCGGACCGTCATCGGCTGAAGAGACATGCAATCTCGGAGAATCTATCAACTGATTCATACACATCGTCTTCGTACATCATACACGTACGTATTTCGTACTACCAGATTCCTTAGAGGGGCATTATAAGCATTGGGATACGATGCTCACGATCTCGGAGAACGTGAATTCGCCATCAATCTCATCGTAATTTGCCCCTCAGCGATTCATCCCGCGAAATAATTCCTTTTCGGGATTAGGAAGGAATTGGATCACGTGATTATATCCCTTGAACAATAATCCTTTGACTTGTCTCGCTGATTACCGAATCTTATGGGAGCCGCTACTACCATCAATCATATAGATAATAGGTACCGATCGAGAAGGATCAGTATACTCATCATCCTTTATCGCTATGCCCCGGGAGTCCCGTTCACAGCTTACCGTCAGAAACCCACCTGTTATCTTGTTGTGGATTTTAACTACACCCAGCGGGAATGTGTTGCGATATTTCTTTACGAAAGCGGGGCAATCAATATTTACCCTTGGGATGGTAAGGCATTGATCTGTCTCGTACGGGCTACCTAACGCACATATCTCCATCCATGGGTAGTCCATGAAGCATGATGTTTGACAAACTGCTACTCGAGGCGGAGATGTGACTGCCTTTTAAAAATGAAATGACGGCAATTGGGAAACATTCTGGGCTTCCGATGATATTGGATTGTGCTCATTTGAACAGTACGAATGGTGGCTGTTTGTATGAGAAGAGTATAGGTGACGTAGTACCTACAATATAGTCCTAAATATCAATATTATATTCGGTCTAAGGATCCAGCTATTCGAAGGAAAAAGTAATTCCTACATAAGGATCGCTATAAGGCTAGCTCTCTCGCTAAGTATACTATAATGCATAAATAAACGACAGAATGAAGGCCTTCATTCTGCCTGATATAGTTGTCGGGGGCCTGGATAAACTAAAATTTGTTTAGACAGGACTTTTGTCTTGAGATGAGGGGTGGCGAGAAGGAGTGGGAGTGGATAATACAGGTGTGATGATAGGAAGCAGTTGGTCTATATAGACATACTGCTAATAATTGCGCTATTATATCATCTTTTGTTCAATATTGGTAACTATGTCTTGTAAAAAGAGACCTCTGTATTTCCGAATTTCTAATATTCCTAAAGATGGGGGGCTAATATACTGATTCTGAATTCATGCTTTGAAAGTAATTTACAGAGAGAGCAATGAATGATCAAGATATAAACTATCTTTCTATCTTCCTATCACCTCCAGCAATCTATCTTTCACTTGACTCTCAAGCTTCCCTTCATCAGATCCCAGATATAAATCCACGTGGTCGTCACAGAAATTGAACTAGTGATTTTAGACAGTAGTAACTAAGTGATAGAATTGCTATTTGAGTTGAGCACAAAGCTCCATATACTAAGGGAATACATTCTGCTTTTACAGACCTTCGTTCCTTGTTCCATCATCGTTCCCATCATGTCCCACTGCTATATTCCAAATGAGACCGGTGGGATTCGGTAAGACATTCAAAACATTTGGCATCATGGGTTCCTACAATGATTAGCTAATCACTGAAATTAAGGTCCCCGTAGGTAGTCATATGTTTTGCTCTGGTCGTAACACAGAAACAGTAAAATCAATAACAGAAACAGAAAGATTTGCCAGGAGTGGCTAAGTGTTGTATCATGAAGATAGAACCAAGAACAGAGACAGAAAGATTTGCCAGTAGTGGCTAAGTGTTATATCATGACAGTTAAACTCGCTCTCATTGAATCCTTCTTGGTAGCCAGCCTGCTTTGCTGCACTGATCACGAAGGGGGACGACACCCAAAACCACAGGTTCCTTGTTGACAAAATATTATTTCTGCTCCGAATTGGCATGGGTCGGGACACTTCAAAAACGTTAG